TGTTTATATTGCGAAACAGTAAATTTGTTTTCTTCCAGTAAATTATTATTTTTACATTTTATTCTTTTTTTTTGTTGAAGTAGCTTAAGTTGTTGCTATTATTTTAGTTGTTTTTTAAAGTATGAAAATTTAATTAATTCCTTCTTAACTGATTATCAGCTGTACTAAAAAACGCTATGCCTTGGTCACTTTGAAACTACTACTCGCCGGCACAAAATGCTTATGTAAAACTATTATTATTTTCCTTTTACTTTGATCACGTTTTTATAAATTGGCGCAAAGTCGACAAATTCATTACATTTTATTTATTTATTTTTTATTTTCCTTTTTTTTTAAATTTTTTTTCGCTTATTTTGTTTTTAATTTAGGATATTTTATTATAATTTTTTCTTATTTTTTTTATTTAATGTTTTCTTCATTTTATTTTATTTTATTTTATTTTATTTTATTTTATTTTATTTTATTTTATTTTATTTTATTTTATTTTATTTTATTTTATTTTATTTTATTTTTTTTATTGAATTTCATTTTCTTTTTGTTTTTTTTTTTTTTTTTTATTTTATTTTATTTTATTTTATTTTATTTTATTTTATTTTATTTTATTTTATTTCTCTTTATTTTATTTTATTTTATTTTATTTTTTTTATTGAATTTCATTTTCTTTTTGTTTTTTTTTTTTTTTTATATTTCATTTGATTTTTTATTTTGTTTTATTTCATTTAATTTGTATTTTAATTAAGTTAATTTAATTTTATTTTATTTCATTTTTTTATTTATTTATTTTGCTTTATTTTTTTTTGTTGTTGTTCTTTTTATTTTATTTTTTTCTTAGAATAGCGACACTCGCTTTTCATTCAGTTGCCATCTGGCGCTTAACGCTAAATTTCTCGTTTCCTGGCGCTGACGTATACCAGCACACTCATCGTTTCTCTGCCTTCCTTCACCTCAACTTCATAACTTCTCTGCATAAATGTGTGTCGTGGTCAGTGTTTATGCAAACAAATTCATTATAATGAATTCTAATTTTTAATTTTTAACCTAATTGGCAATTTTTCGTTGTTCTACTGCTTTTTTTATTTCGCCTCCTCCACTTGTTTTTATTGTTGCTACTGTATTATGCTCGCATACCCCTTGGTACTCATATGTATGTATGTATGTATGTTTATTTGAATTTACTGTCATTAATTTTTTTCAAAAGTGCAAATTATGCAAAACAGCAACAATGAGATAAGTGTTTCGAAGCCAAAGAGCAATAGCAGTACGAATAAGACAAAGTAAAATGCGAAATTGCAAAAAATAAGTATGTATGTAAATAAACGGTTTGTATCTACAGATTTCCGGTGAATGTGTAGGTTTCAAGTGGCGTTTGGCGTTCGCGCGTCCATTTGGCGGGCGCTCAGCCAGCTGGTTGTTCTTGCTTGTGTGTATGTATGTACATATGTATGTACAAGAGTTTGAAGTGATTTTTTCTGCCACTAATTGAAAGGAATACATAATCGCTTTAACAGAATAAAAGAAAAAACTAAAGAAAAGGTAAAAAAAGCTAAAAATTACTTTTCGGCCAACAACCTGTTTTCGTCTTCATAGAATTTCGTAATCTTTAATATTTATTTCTCATTTCGAATTCTGATGCAACTATCGGCACGTGTGCCTGTGAAATATATTTCTATATAATTTGTTTTATGGCTGGATAATTGATTAATCGAGTTTTGTTTTTGAATATTTTCTAATCAATTAGAAGGAGCTAGGTGAGAGCGGAATTCATATCTTCATACAAATATCCGCTTAATTGTTTCAAAATTTTATGACCAGATTGAGAGACACCGAAGTTTGGATCCGGAATAATCTGTAAACTCACCTACCACTAACTAATAACGGGTGATCCAAGTAGAGATACTTCTTTCAATACCTATTTTCCGACAGATGACGGGTGAATTTTTTCTTCAGTATTGTTTGGCTTTTCATAGTGGAATGACTAACTCGGGAACCAAGTTTACATATCATTCAACTTTATTACGAAAATTCTCGTTCTGTGGAGAATGTGTTTTGCGCCCTTCGTTTAACTTATGGTCAACATAATCGGCCTACTGAGCGTGCTATTCGCAACGCCATCACCCATATTGAGACAGAGCATTTATTATTAAATAATATTCGACCAAATAGACTAGGTCCAGCACCATGTCCAGTGAAGAAGATATGGCGGACGTAGCTGAGAGTGAGTGAACACGATGGCCGTGGAGAGTCGATTCGGCGACGTACGCAGCAACTCGTATTGACTTAAGGAACGACTTGGCACATTTTATGTAGAGATCTTGATTTGAAAGAGTAAAAAATACAGCTCTTGCAAGCACTGAAGCTGCCCAACCTTCCGAAACAACATCGTTTCGCTTTCTGGGCTCTTGTGAGGTTCCCAGAAACTCCGATGTTTTCGAGCCAGTCTTTGTTCAGCAGTGAGGCTCATTTCTGGTTCAATGGGTACGTAAGCAAACAAAATTTTCACATTTGGGCGAAGAGCAACCTGAAGAGATTCCAGAGCTGTAATTTCATCTACAAAAGCAACGGTTTAGTGTGCTCCGTATTTCTCCAATTATGTTGACGGTGCGAATGTCACCGTCAATGACGACAGAGTTGATAGCAAAAGGAGCTGAAGGTGTTTCACATGAACATTCGAGAACACGAACATGAATATGAAAATAATTCATGCCGCTTGACATGCAGCGACGATTGGAGAGTTGCTGAGATTTTCTGGAATGGTGCCAAGATAATTTCGATGAATTTGCAACCAGATTGTAACAGTTGATGTAACAGTGGCTTCGTCAGTATGAGCCCGAGTCCAGAAAGTAGTCGATGCAGTGCATAAAGAAAGGATAGCGGAACAGTTGGCGTCGAAGTTTATTGCCATCATTTTCTGGGTTATCAAGGGAATATTGATAATTGATTACTTGCCATAGAGAACCACAATGAACGAACAGTATTGCGCTGAATTTTTGAGGCAGTCGTACGGAACAGACGCGGCAAGTGAACGCGCTGAGTGCTAATTCTTCAAGACAACGCACGCGTTCACACCACTAGGGTCGCGATGGATGCCTCAAAAGGTACTAATAGATTTATAGAATTTTATCATCCACTCTACAGTCCGTACCTAGCCTCCAGTGACTTTTTCCCTTTTTTTCAAATTTAAAAGCAGAGTTACGGTGACGAATGTTTTCAGACGGCATTTTGAAGAGACATCTAAAGAATATTTTTTCGGTGGTAAAAAGGTAGTGTATTCACGTCTGAAAAGTGTACTTCACTGGGTGAGACTATATTGAAAACTTAAAAAGCATAAAATTTTACTTTTTTTTCATTAGGACCTTTATGTCGCGAGAAAAGTCAGCTGCCCCTCGTATATATACAAACATATTCATCCATAATACATAAAACGTCTCCCGCAAATTTCAATTAGGACGTACGCAAAACACTTGCAGGCTAATTATTACATACATACTCGTATGCATATGTGTGTGTATATGCGAGTATCTAAATATATAAATAATTTAAAAGCACCACGTGGGTGTGAACATACTGACATAAATACAATTAAATGCAGCGTAAATCATATAGCCAAATGCATATATATATATACATACATATGTATGGATGGCACATATACATATGCATAAGCATTATTTATGTTTATTTTTGAAACCACGTCTGCTCATGCCACACGAAATTGGCCGCGAAGGTGAAAAGACAAAAAAAACACAAACGTCAAAGGCGAACAATTCATCATCAGTTTTTGACAAAATGTATAACACCAATGCCAACAACAACAACCAGCACAATAACAATGCTAATATTTAGAGGCAATGCCAAAAAAAAAAAAAATTAGCCCAAAAGGCAAGTCAAATCGGGCGCCTTTGCCGACGGCTGACAGTGGAGCAGACATTGAGTTGTATTTATGTGCATACACACATTCATTACATGCATACATATGTCTGCATATATATATATATATATATATATATGATTTCAAATGTTTTGAACTGCATGTGGGATGAATATTTATGTGTGCCCAACGCAAAGGAGGTCCATTAAGTGGCAAGCAAGGCAAAGCAAAGCACGAAAAAAAGGTGTGAGCACGCAGCCACCAGCCGGCGGACAGTTGAACGACGCACGCATGTACTTATATACGCATGTATGTATCATATGTATGTACATAAAACAATTTAAATTTATATGTTATATATACCGCCAATCAGTATATGTGTAAATACATATACATTGTACGAGTATATATGTATGTATAAACAAATGTATTTATAAACAAGCCAAAAAACGCCGGCCTGTTTTCCTTGCTTTGATTTTTCAGCGTTTCATGCGTACCTACGCGCTGCGCCCAAAAAGCGCCAAATTGCCGTAATTAGCACTGGGCGGTGGCAGAAGAGCTACATATGTATGTACATACACCTCTAGCAGAAATTTAGCAGCGTTTAAACCTATGTATGTATGTATTATACATATGTATATGTGAATAATTCTCTTTTATTTAGATTATTTATTTTTTTTTTTTTTTTTTGGGAAATCATTTACGTATTTCCATAAATAAATTTGCAGCCAAAGTTTTTTTTTTATGTGGCGGAATCGATTGGAATGCGGAGATCATTGCCGCGGCGAAATAAATATGTTTGTATTCACTAATAGAACAATTCAAATTAATTTTTCCACGCAGCGCTCACTTTTTCCCTTGCACTCAAAGTATTAAAATCACTTTTCTTTACCTTAAATTTTAAGAAAAAAATCCGAAACGACCTTCGGCTCTTCCGATGTAATTTTATAATTATTTTATAGAATTATTTTAAGTACGTTGCATGAGAAAAATGGAGTAGTTGCACAAATCCATCTTATTTTATTTTGTTATCTATTAAATATGCGTTTGTTATAAAATTTTCGACAAAATATCTTTTTCACATGCATAAATATGTACAATTTTCTTATTTTAATTTAGTTTTTGAACTTACGTTTATATAGAAATTTCGAATAATCACAATCCATGTTGTTGTTGTTGTTGTAGTTTTCCCTCTATGGTTGCAATCTTGACTGCTGTATTGTTGTTATTGTTTGTTCATTAACACTTTTTACACTTTTTCACTTTGTAAATTTATGGTTTCAATTATTTGTACAAGATGAAATTAAACTTCAGTTAAAGTTTCTTGCACTTCTTGATGCTTTTCAAATGCTTATTGAAGCATTTTTTTAGTTATTGTGGTTGTCGTTATGAGCATCTGCTGCAAAAAAAAAGAATAAATTAATTTAATATAAAAATAATCGAATATGTTGTTTTGTTTTATCGTGTTTTACTTGATTTTATTGTACTTCAGTTTATTTAATAAAATTATGTGTTATTTTTATTTCGTTCTATTTTATTTTATTTTATTTCATTTTGTTTTAATTTATTTTATTTTAATTTATTTTACTTTATTTTATTATATATTATTTTATTTTATTTTATTTTATTTTATTTTATTTTTATATTACATATTTTTTTGTTTTATTTTATTGTATATTTTTTTATTTTATTTTATTTTTATACATATTTTTTTGGTTTTATCGTATTTCATTTCAATTGAATTTTACTTTGTTATCAATTATTTTAAGTTAATTTATTTTAATAAAATTTTCCGCCGACGGTAGAAATATTAATATTGGTTTTGATGTTTTTTTTTTAATTTCTATTTTATTATAGATCACGTTTTATTATGTTTTCGAATTTTTTTTTTTGCTTAACTCTCATTTTTTTTAGCTTTTATCGATTCTATGTAACCGTTATCAGCATCGCAAATTAGTAACACCATATTTTTTAGCTTTTTTGTATGCTTCGCGTTCGTGTGTGTCGTTCTTCTTATCGTTATCAGCATTGCTTCGCTGCTGCTGCCACTGCCGTTATGCGTCAAAGCGACGGCAATGCGTACATTTCACTGGTGGCCTAACTAGTTGTTGACACTTATCACTTGTGCTGCGCCGGCGACCGCAACCAGCGAGCGTCATATTTAATTATGACTAGAGTGGGCAACAACAGCAATAATAACAGAAAATAGCAAAAAAAAATTAAAATTGAATGCTGCCGACAATTTAGCAGGCGCTGGTTTGCACCCACGCGCGTTACAGATATACATATATGTATGTACATAGTTGTTTATATATATTTTAATATTTTTTTGATGTCTTGCCATATGAATTTATTATTGTAAACGCACTTGCTTGCTTGCGGGCTTGTCAAGCAAAGACAATCAGCTAGTTGATGGTCGCGCGAATAACAAAAACAAAGGCAAACGTTATATAAAAAAATAAAAATAAACATAAAAGTGTAATAAACAATTGCAAATGTTCTTGCGCTGATTTTCAAACGATTTTTATTAACATTTTTTTTTTTTAATTTTTTTCATAACTTTCCGTTTAACATGTTTATGCTGTTATTTTCCTTGCCACATAAATACGTAAATACATATGGACTAGTAGAATTGTCACACTTGATTGATTCGGTGGCGTCCCTCAAAACAACATGCTTGGTGGCTATGCGGCTATGCTTGAGCGCTCGGTTGTAATCTGAAGTGTACGTACATATATACGTTTGTATGCATGTGTGCGCGAGTATCTGCACGAGAGTACGGGAATACATTTGCAAAATGTAGTTGTGCTTGTGCACTACACTTGAATTACATATGTACATATCGCATTCAAGCAGCCAGTTTGTAACTGAAAATTACCGTTTTATTGAATTGTTGTTAATGTGGTTTTGATTTGCCATTTTATGGTAGACTAAGTTTTGGGTTAGCAGCGATTCTGTCTTTATTTTATTTTTATTTTTTTTGGAGTGGGTTAAAGGAACTTAACAGTATTTTTTTAGATTTCCAATAATCAGTTCCTAGTGGATACTAACGGTAAATAATTGAAAATCTCTTTGAAAGCTTCTTCCTATAAAGATTCCGTCGGTAACCGCTTTTGGGTCAAGAAAATTAGGAAATTTTTTGCTTCTAAAAATTTCGAGAATTTTATGGAATTACGGTTTCTCCTTTTTTTTCTCAACTTCCTTGTGTCTAACCCTTCAATGCATTCTGGAAGTATGGGGCTTGAGCACTGAGAAAGAGTTCCTCAATTAAATATTCCAAACTCCAATTGTAAAAGCCCGTCTAGCCAAGCTCATGGCTGTCTATTGGGCGTAGATAAGTCAAAACAGCAACAAGGCAGCTGAAGACGATAAGGATCTCAAAGCAGTTGGTTTTCTGACTGACTTATTCAAAGACGATGCCAGTAAAGTGGAGATCTAACGAAAATTCGAGTATCTAAGTTGACATTTCTTTGATTTTTCAACGTATTTAAGCAACGGCATAGAGAGAGAGGGATATATATATATAGAGAGAGATGGAGTCCCTAAAACAGTAAGTGTCTTTATAAGTCTCTATTCGATAGGCAGGCGGATCGACATATATGCAAACGACCTCCCATTTATAATAAGATTTCCTTGCCTTGTCAAGAGTTTCACTTCATTAAGAGTTAACGGGATCTAATTCTATTTGATGATTTCCTCAAGATAGTCGACATCATGGTAAATAACTTGTCATAGAATCATCGGATCAAACTCGTCAAGATGTGTCACAGAGAGGATTTGTTTCCAAATACTTTAGAGCATGACGAGGATTAAAGTTGCATAATTATCCAAAACTTTGAAACCGGCTGACCGACGCGGCTCCGATTTGACTTCGATCAAGCATTTTTATGGAGAGCCAGTAATATTGCTTGCTACGTTAGCCATCTAGGGACGGTGCACGACTTTAAACACAAAATTTAAGACTCCATTGCAGCCATTGGGTCGACAGAGAGAACATAATGGGCTACTGCAAGCTCAATCGCGGTAGCAATATGAACGAAATGGTATTTCAGCATTAGCCAGAATGTTGAGACCGAGTAGATGCAGGTCTAGCGATTAGTTCGGATGAAATGCTAAATTGAACAGCGTAACAGAGCTCTATATGTTCCAGCGGCGCTGTAAACCGCAATGCGAGTGATATTTATGAGCGTTTTCGAAGAGCTGCCTGTAACTCTGTTCTAATTGCCGACGGTTATCGAAGCTTTAGCCTAGTCAGGTTAGCCGGCATGCTACCATAAAAAGCACTCTGGAGCTAATTGTGGACAGAAATACTAGAAGAAAGCAACACACAACGACTGCTTATCTCATTTGGTGTGAAACGTAAAACTAAAAAAATGTAGAGCCGATTTTTATGCGTTTTTTCCAGCCTGGTTGTAGCCAAGAATACGATGTTTTGGGATAATTAATCACAGACCACCTGGGTACTGAGAGGCCATTGCACAATTCATTTTAAACACATTTATTTGGTTCTGTTTTTATCGTCTTTGTAATGGTTTCAAAAGTACACGGCTTTAAGAGGAGAAAAAAGTTGACAAAAACTGGATCGGCTAGAGCCCGTGCATCATCGTTTAGCTCGTTCCCACTCAAATATCGTTACTGTAAGTGAATGTGTAGCCGAAGTTCTGATTGTGACAATTTTTCGACGTCTCAAGAGCTCTAGGACTTTCTTACGCCGTATTATGGCGTATTTTGCCATGGACTTACACTTACATCCATATGAAACCCAGCTCAAACAACAACTGAAGTCAGCTGAACATACGCCATGCCGTGCATATGACGATTGGATGCTTGAGCAACCACCAATAGACGGCAATTTCTCACTCAGGGAAGTCGCATTAGTTGCGCCGTGAATCCTCACATAATTGAAAGCGACAACGGCCAGACTGTCACTGTCAGTGCGTAGCCTTACGGTCGACTTTTTTTGGTGCAATTGAAGAAAACGACTTGGACCAAATGTGGTTTCAACGATATGGTGCCAAATGCTACAAAACAATGGCGGAAGGAAATTTCCGGTCGCGTAAACTCTAAACTTGACGATGTCAATTAGCCTCCAAAAACGTGCGTCTTGACACCGTTGTACTTTATTTGTTGGGAACTACGCGAAAGATCATGTTTTGGCGGAAAAACAATTAACTCTTGAGCACTTGAAAAACAACACTCGTCAAGTGATGGCTGAGATACCGTCCAATATGTGTTTTATAGCAAGTTTTTTACCAATATTTATTTTATTTAATTTTCACGAGCTTTCAATAAAAAGTTATTTATTTTCTTTTTTATTTAAAGTTTTTTTTACTTCATATTTTTAGATTTTTATTTAATATATATTTTTTTTTTTTATTAAGTAATAAATAATTTTTTACACTCTTAAAGTTGTTGCTTAATTTCAAAATCACACTCAAAACACATTTTTTTTTATTTCATATAATTACACCATTCCCGGATTATTTTAATTTTTTCATTTTTCTTTTAATTTTTAATGAAAACAGCTGAAAAAAAGCTGAAAATTCATTTGATTAATTTTATTCCACAAAACTGTTAAGAGCCACAAGACACAATAAATAAAAATAAATGTCAGCAGTCAAAATTGCCGCCGGTTTTTGGCCCAAGACTTTGATTAAAAATTTAAAAAAAATCCAAAAAATATAAAAGTAATATATATATATAAATTTTTTTTTGACAAATTGTATTTATTTATTGGCATCTTTAATAATCAATATCTTATTAGTTTTTGACCACTATTGTCCTTTTTTACGGTGAGAACTAATTGTTTGCTTTTTTTTTAATCTATTTTGCTTTGTTTTATTTCTATTTTAATTTATTTTATATTTAATAAAAAATTAGTTAGTGATCATTTTTATTTTTTTTGATATTTTTTCACACGCAGAATTTTTTGTATTTTACTCCAATTCTGATTTTTTTAGTTTTGTTATTTTCATTAGGAATATATGCAAAAAAAAGTATTTTGGTAAAGAATTTTGAACCTTTTTTGGGCAACACTTATTAATTTACTTTTTTTTGCACTAATTTGCCCACAAATATTTATGCATGTTTTTAAGTTTTTCATGTACAATAGAACTGTTATTTCTTTAATTAATTTAAAATTATTTAAAAAAAACCTGTAAATTTTTCGCTTTGTTTTGAGGTTTTTATTTGTTTTTATATTATATATATTATATTTATATTTTTTTTTGTATTAAAATTCTTTATTATAATTGAGTTATACGCATAGTTTCACACTTCTCTTTTACAAAAAAAAAGTATTAACTTTTTTTATTTGCTTCAGTTTTGAATTTATTCAACTCCTTATTTTGGGAATTTTATTAGTTTTCTAGACACCATTCTATTGAAATTTTTTTTGTTTTTTTTTTTATTTTTTCAACTGCTGATTTGCGATTTTTGTCAGTTTAGCACTATTTGGAGCTTTCATCACCACTCCTATTTAAAGAATTGCAAAATGATAATTTTAATTGAGTCACTATCATAGAGAACTCAACGTATTTTGTATTTTTTTTATGTTTATTATGTTTTAAGTTTAAAATTTTTTTAAATTCTGCCAGTGTTTTTGGCGTTGTTTTATATTGAAGCTTCGTAAAGTCAATATTTTTTAAATAAAAAGTAATTTACATATTTTCTGAAGCTCTTCGGCTCTCTCTCTTCGTCCGAAATTTTTTCTTATTACAAAACACACTTATAATTATAGAATTTAGATAATAGTATTGAATTAATTTAAGTGATTTTAAATTTTCTGATTTTATGTTTTTGCTGTTTCTTCTATATAATTATTTTTCCATTTTTAGATAATTTAAAATTAAATTAATTTTTGTAATTTTTGTAAATTCAATTTGTTTTTAATTTAAATATCGTTTTCCAATTAAACATGAGTATTTCAATTAATAGCTTTCTACAGTTTTTCCGTACTTTTATTTATATTCTAATTTAAGATTTTACAAAGTTAATATTTTTTAATTCTTTTATTTGATTTAGTTTATTTAACCATCAAACGCGCGCGCGGCGGTTATTTAGTTTTTCGATTGTGAGCTATTTGTTATTTACTTGATTAAATTATTACTATTATTTTTTTCTTATTTAAAAATTGTTTATATATTTTAATTTAGTCTAATTTTATTTATTTTATTTCAGTTATAAATTTTGCATAATTTAATATTTAATTCACGTTGCTTTTCGAAAATATTTTTGAATAAATTTATTTAAATAATTTTTTAATTATAATTTTTTATTTTTAATCGTTTTTATTTACTTTCCGCTGGAATAATTTCTAATTTTTTTTTTTTGGTTTAATTTAGATTTTTGGATAAAAAATATTTCATATATAATATACTTTTTTTATAATTTCCAAATATTATGCTTCATTTTTCTATTATTTAAATCTAATATATTTTTAATTCTTAAATAAATTTAGTTTTATTTTAAATAATTTTCCTTTTTTATTATATTTCGATTTTAAATTTAGTTAAATTTAAAAAGGTTTTTAAATATTGTACTTTTTCCAATAGAGATGTTTTTTTACCTAAAGTAATTTAATTATTCGACAACACAAATTTATATATTTTTTTTAATAATTGTCATTGTTTTGATTTAAAAAAAATTTTTAAATTTCTTAATTCAATTTATATTAAATTTATTTTACATTTTTTACACACATATTTTTATACATTTTTAAGTAATTTTAATTAATTTTTCTTAATCATTAATTATCTACATATATTGTTTTTGTTGGTTTTTCATGTATTTTTGTTTCCTTTTGACATTATTTTACTCATTCCATTTTTTTCATTTATTATAATTTTTATTGTTATTCTCTTTTTTTCACTTTTTTATGTCTTTAATTCTTTCCTATGTGCGAATTTTTGTTTCTACTTTTTCCCCATTTTGAGAATATTATTTACAATTTTTTTTATTTAAGTATTTAGAATTATATTTACTTCCATTTCATAATTTTTCTTATATATTCATTTTTACTATATTTTATTTTGTTTTTATCTAAATTAATTTATTTTATTTTTTTATTAAACGTTTGGGTTGTTACTTTTAATTAGTTTTATTCCAAATTTATTAATCTTATTTCAATTTTCATATATAAATATTATGTGCTTGATTTCCTATACTAGTTATTTTTAATATTTATTTATTAATTATTATTTTTGTAATTATTATGGTTTTCATTACTAATATTTATTATTATTTTAGATATTATATTTATAACTATTTTTATTTTAGTTTTTTATTTTGGTATTTCTACTTCCCTTATTTATTTCTTTTTTAATTATTATTATCATTTATTATAATTATTATTATAATTAATATATTTATTATTAGTATTACTATTTATTATTATTATTATTACTATTATGATTATTATTATTAATATTATAAATATTATTATTATAATTATTACTATTTATTGTTATTATTATTATTATTATTATTATTATTATTATTATTATTATTATTAATATTATTATTATTATTATTACTATTATTATTTTTATTATTATTAGTACTATTTATTATTATTATTAATGTTATTATTATTATTATTATTCATTATTATTATTATTATAATTATTATAAGTGTTATTATTATTATTATTATAAGTATTATTATTATAATTTTTATTTTTTATTATTATTATTATTATTATTTTATATTATTATTATTATAATTATTACTATTTGTTATTATTATTATAGTTATTATTATTAATACTTTTTATTATTATTATTATTATTATTATTATTATTATTATTATTATTATTATTATTATTATTATTATTATTATTATTAGTATTATTCTTACTATATTTATTTATTTATTATTATTATAATCAAAATTAACCCTATCAATTATATTGTTTTTTGTTTTTGCTTTTAATATAATTGTTAACTTTTGTGATTGTGATTTATATTTTTTTTATTTTTATTAGTATTTCTAATTTGAACTTTGATATTATTTCTATTACCTTCTTTTCTCAAATTTCGCTACACTTTGTCATTTGTTTTTTTTTTTTTTCACTGCTGATTTGGTTTTTTGCTGTTTTCAACATTTATTGTTTGGTTTCATTCATTTGCTGTCTACCGAAAAACGCCGAGCAGCGAGCCAAGAGGCATAGAAAAAGCGCGCGCGTCAGCAATAAACAACGAACGTTTTACCGACAACGACGAGCAACAGTTGCTCGCGCGATAACAGAAATTGAAGTAGATGGCAAAAAGTGCAGCAGAATATTTGCGAAAAAAAATCAGCTCGCAAAAATTAATTATTAATTTTTTATTTTTTAAAAGCAAGCGTTTTTAAAAACATTTCAGAATTTCAACAAGAAAAAATATATTTTTGGTCATATTTTCAACCAATATTCATTTCGGCAAAATTTTTTGTTTTCATTAATGCCCTTAAGGCTTTTGGCGCCCTCACTGCGCGCACATTGTGTAGTTGTGCTATTTTTTTTTTATTACCAAATATTTATTTTTATTTATTTTTTTAATTTTCATTTCCCGCGACGGCAATCGTTTGCAATTTACACTACAAAACGGCTGCTGCTGCTGCTGCTGCCTTGTAGCCAACCAATTTGCGAGCGTTTCGGGCGGTACGCGACGTTTGTGACGACGACATAAACAAAACTGCCAATACGAAATTGGCTCAAATCGCATCAAGCAAAAATTCACATATTCATACCGCACACACAAATACCCGCCAGTTGCGGCACACACACATATACATATTTATACACAGCTAAATAAATTAATTTTCAACTTGTGTATCGTTGGCTCGCTCACTCGCTCACTCACTCACTCACTGCTGCTGCACTGCCGAGTGAGCGGGCGGTGGAGCTGTGTGTGGGGCGTGAATGGAGTTAAGCTATAAGAGCTTGTCGCTGAGCGTGAGAGTGCACGGTGAGTACTAATGAGTAAAAGTGCTTAAGCTGTTGGAGCTCGCGAGCCCCATGAAACGGTACGCCGCAAATCAGCTGGTCACAAAGCACTCACTCACTCAGTCACTCAGTCATAGCACAGCGTCACTCAACTCAACTCAAGTCTTGTGCTAAACATTTGAATGACAATCGTCGCATTTGCAATACAACATTGTTGCTGCGTGGAGCAACAGCTGCAGACGGTGAGCGTTTTGAACGCAACAGCAGCAATTGCCGTTGCTAAAACAAGCAATGGCTCCATGTCTTATTGCCTCATGCGCCAAGCCACACGCTGGTAGCAAATGTACACATATACACACATATTGTGTACAAACGTACAGTTAAATACATATACACACATACATATATGCATGTACATGTGGCGTCTGTCGTCGAGCACGATTTTGCAATTTGTGTATGCACACACAATCGACTTTACGTGTTGCTGGCGATTTATTGCAGCATAGAGCAAAAATAGAAATAGCAATAACAAAAACAACAATAACAATAACAAGAACAGCAAGAACCACAACAACAAGAACGACCACACGTCGTCGCAATATTATAGAATAATAACAAATAATTCGAGAAGTTTTGCTGGCAGCAATTGCCTTCGAGACGTGCAACGCATTTGGCACACTTCAGTCTTTAAGGCAGTCACCGAGGACCGACTCGAGGAGCGCCATATTATTTGTATTTGTATTTGTACATACATACATATGTACATGCCTTGTGTTGTGGGAGTGCGGTTGTGTGAATCTGTAAATCGTCTTTAAGCCTGAAAATATTACAAAAACTGTCGCTTAAGTGACGGATGTGCTTTAAATTTAACGGTTTTTTTATGGATATAGGCACTTAAATTACCCGGCTGGAGGTCGCTATGGCCTTAGGTTCTACGATAATCAAGAGACTTTCAAGCTGTGCTTCAAAATTCAAGGAAAGACCGAGAAGCTGCTGCTCTGAAGCTGACTAAGGTCGCCGTTAGCAGTTACCAAAGGGCGCTACGAAACTCTTACTATCAACTCAGACTCTTCAACATTGCTCCTGAAAAAGCAACTAGTATATTGCTGCTTTATAGCCACTAAAGCTATTTCCGTACGAGTTCGTTCTCCAGCTAATTAAGAAATAATTAATTTCCTGACTCTCCGATAGAATTGATGGGTATAGCCCGCAGAGGGATGGAGGACAAAATATCATATAACCCACGCTTCTCCTGGGATGGAAAGTTGGCGCCAGGAACAGGCGAGCGCAGCTGGAACCTGTAACCTTCTAACAGATGAATGATGGGCACCAGATTCTACTGCGCCTGACGCTAGAGCACAGACCATCCTTTAAGCTTTTAGAGATCCGCAGTATTTTCCAGGCCAAGGTTAAGGTTATATGGAATGCCACTAAAAAAATCAACAACACTGGAAACCAAATATGAATTTAAGTGCCGATAGTCAGGTGCATTGCGTCAGAAACTGTCCTGCAAAGCAGGGAAGCAGTAGATGGAGAGGTCGAAGGTAAACGGCCGCACATATACTGGGTTCCAGACCTCATGGGCGTAATGGAGTGTAGTCAAGCTTCTGGGTATGCAATTACAGTCGGGTGTGCTATACTCAACCCCCTCTTTGCGTCAAACCAGCCCGCATAAAGCCTTCGGTCACGAACAAAAGAAAGTAAGCTTCAGTGGAGCCACTCCGAATGAATTTGTGTGCTACGTTTGAGACCCGCCACATAGAAACTAGTTCCAATGAAAAGATTTCATGCATTAGCGAGGTGCAAAACCTCCAAAATCACGTGCAATGGTAGTAAAGGAAACACCTATACTTGCTTATACAGTCACGAATGGACTACAAGGCATAACGTGTCATAATCTACTGGCAACCCAATGTGATCAGAATCGATATTCGTAGCAGTGACACATATGGGAAGGGCAGGGAGCGAGGCATAAGTGAATTGTTTTTCAATCCGGTCAGAGCTAAAGGTCGCCTAGATATGCAACTCAGAGCTTCGCAATGGAGGAACCTACAGTTTTTACTAAGCTGCCTCCGAACAGGTGATGAGGAGCTTTTATTTCATGTCAGAAGTACCCTCGGAGGGGTTGACATTCCCTGCCAAGGGGAGAACTCAATTAGAAAAGGTAATATTCCATTATTTTGGATGTTAGTCGAACCCGGACTCGAAGTCTGGTCTTCCGCAGGCCACAACGCAATGATAACCACTCGGTTATAGCGGCCGGCGGTGTAACCTGTAATAATTTTATATAGTTTTTACAGTTGCTCTGACCAGCTATCGAACCCAAGATCCTACGCATAGTATTACGCGCTGCTAGCCACTCGGATGAAGCAGCCTAAAGTTCTTGATTAGCTAGTTGTCGCAAAGAGGGCTTACAACTTCAATAAAGCGTCTCTGAAGTAGCTCAGAGTAATCTGAATTTGGATATGAAGCGAAGAATCTCCCTAACCAACCCCACTTTGTACTGCTCGGGGATGAATCTATGCTAAATTGCTCGAGACCAATTGAAGAACTCACATATCAGATCTTTTTAAGCTTTTAAAGCGAAGAAAACTGCGAGACTTCACAAAACCACGTACGAGAAATTCAACTATACACAGAGAGTCTAAAATAAAAGAATCGATCCAATATAAAGGCCCGTAGAGGCTTATAATTTCACGTAGAAAGACGCATAGACCTTTTTAAGCTCTTCCCTTTCTTCTCAGCAAGTTAGTTTCTTGCTCTTTCTAGAGGTTCTTAGACTGGTAGTGGCGTATGAAAGTGATGGTAAGTGAAATTACGCTAGAAACTATCGAAGGTAGCTAGCCAGTCGAAGCGGTGTATGAGTTTTCTACCAGGAACTCACAATAGACTCTGGGTTCAGTTTTCTTAACTAACCTAGCGGTTTTTAATCCCAAGTGCCAGCAGAGCGCAAGCGGTACATATCTTGCTATGGAGCGCCATTTCAGTCAAAACTGCCTGACGTTCAGGTACTTATCTTGCTGGCTTTGGATACACCTACAATGCATTCTGGTACATTGCATTGCTTACAATAACGAGAGATATTCTTTTCATTATGCTGATTTGGCAACCGGGCGAGTAAAGAGGCTAGTGGAAGTTCCTCAAGATATTCACTTGTACAGATGGGCGTCACACCAGTTTAGTGCTGCCGGCATCATCCCTTGTATGGTTGTAATATGCTTTTGACCTGAGGTGGATCGTAGAAGAAAATCCAACCGGATCCTCATACTGTAAGAACTGCATGAAAGATGGCAAGCAATAATTTCAGATAGTATTCGGATGCACCACTTCCTCGCTTACAAGCGAATCCACATAAACGCGCCAGTTGTTTCTTGTTTCGACTGCTTGACGCCAATTCACTGAATATTTCTCAGTGAAGCCAATTCGGTATTTACCAAAGGAGTGAAGGTCTTGTCTTCTCCGTTCTCTGCATCCACAGCTGCTTGAACTGTGTCAAGACCGACATAAAACTCGTGCGGCACAGCGTCTGCAGTATTTGCCATTGCCAATTTGCGAAGTCTTGCGCTAAACCTTGCTCCCGGAAACTCCTAATGCCGGCTTAATGCATGTTGTCATCGTACAGGCCTCCGTACCGCATATGTGGAGTGACTTGTAGAGCTTAGTCTTTCTTCAGCGAGATAGGACTTTCTTTTCGATTGCCTACTCCATCCAAGCAGTAACTCTTGGCAAGATAGATTTTAGGTTAGATTTCAGGTCGGACGTTGTTGATGGGGCAGCCACCTACAACTAGACTACACGAAACATTTCACTCTGTGCCATATTTTGCAGTTCTGCGGCACAACAACACAGCAAATTAAATCATTACACAACACATTCGTTGATTTAGTTGAACTTTGGGTTTATGACTTTATAGATATTAAAAATAAAAAACTCGCTGCTTATCAGCATCAACGGCGCCGACAGCATCATAATAGATCGTTGAAAGGTATATACATATATATCTATATATGCATACACATACTTACATACCATTAATAAGTATTTCCAACACATCTGCCTACGCGTCGTACATTCTACCAACGCCTGGCCGGGCCTGGACGCATTTTAAGGCAGCGCCTGTGGCGAACAAATACCAAAGCGAACTTGTAAATGATTAATTTACAAGGCAACACTTGAATTATTTATAGCGAAATGTCAATGTTGAGAATATTAAATTAAAATGTAGATAATATTGACATTAGATAGGGCATTAAAAGCTTAGAGTTGCATGTGGGGAGGCAATAACACAAACCTCTCGCTTCCACGCCACCTCTCTCTTTCTCTCTCGGCCTCAAAATTGAAACTGTAATGCAGTTTGTCTAGGCGAAATGGCAGTTACATATGTAAATGATCAAGTGGAAATATCGATAAATGCATATATTAGGAAATTATATATCATATACATGCTCGTGCTTACATATGTACATGCATGTAAATATATTTATGCACTAACTACATGCTTTTTTTAAGTAAATACGCCAGGTAATGTTCGGTATTCAATACACTTGCGCTTGAATTTCAATTATGTCGCTGTTTGACAACGTCACTGCCATAGCAAATCTTGTATTGGAGTCGGCACCTACAACAACAAAAGACGACATGAAGTCTGCCAAATGTCGAGTAAGTAAATGAATAAAATGTTTTATTTACAATATACATACATATATGTTTACTTATGTAATTATTAACATACA